TAAAGGTTAGAATCAATAGAGGGGCATTATGTTATGGAGTCACAGAGCAAAGAGCCATAAATCTTTTAGCTATTAACCCTCTTCTTAAAAGTGCTTTGGTTGACCTCACTCATCACCTATGTCAGTCCAAGTTCTTTGTTGCAAGCAAAAGCCACATACGTTTTAGTTGATTTAAGCAGGAAAGGAATCTCAGAAAGGACTGAAGAATAAGGCTGGAAGTTTGCGTCTCCAGGAACTACACATGGAATCAAGCTGCAGAACTGGCCCAGTGAAGAAGCTTCAGCTGCCACTGCTAAGCACTGACTTGCAGTACAGCTGGCACAACTGACAGCAGTGGACATTGATGCTATAACTGATGCAATGGCTACTGCTGCTGTTGCCAACCTTTCCAGAATGTATTCTCTGCAGTCTTTGTGGCTTCATTAGTCTCCTACTCAAAATTTAGGGTGAATACATCTCATAGATGTTGTGTAGGTCAGATGCCCAGGTCTAGCTGCAAGAGAGGCTGAAAAGTAGGTTCTGTCTGTAAGATAGGCATTCTCAAATCCAGGGATGCAAGTTTGTGGCAAATGTTTTCTATTGTCAGTGCTTCCTGAGCTTTAGTGTGCTTGTGAGCCATCTGGAGATCTTGTTGAAATGCAGATTCTGATTCATTAAGGCTCAAGTGGGGCCTGAGATTCCATAGCACCCAGGTGATGCAAAGCTGCTGGTCTCACAGCCACAATGAGTAGCAAAGCTCTACAGCAAAGATTTTCAAATTTGGTTGTATATTGCAGTAACTTGAGAAACTTTTTTTAAAAAGTACTGATGTCTGGGTCTCACCCTCAGCTGATTTAATTCCTCTGGGGTAATGCCTAAGATTATGAAACTGCTTTTTAAAAAGCCTCTAGGTGACTCCTGTGTGTTCAGAGGGTATCTTTTACTATAGGCTGCAACTTCTTGTCATTTTGCAAGGTTACTCCAAATTACCAGATTTCCACTTTTGGAGTCTTGCTTGGTCTCTGCCTTAAAATTCAATTATTCTTATTTGATATGTGGAACAATTTGACACTCCACTTCTTAGTTCCTTGGACCTAACTTTGCATATCCAAAGACTAGGTAAAGAGTTTTCACAATCCAGTATTTTCCAAAAGTATGCTACCTGTTGTCCTGGGAGGGTGTGATCTGTAGTATTCCATGGATAACTATTTTAATTTTTAATAGTTATATATTTATTTTAATGTGCATTAATTTTAAAAAAGTAACTAATAGATGTGATTTCATAAATATTATTGCTTGGGAAAACAATGAGTTGTTTTTTTTAAAAAACTTAGGTAAATAATGTAGTCAGAGCAGAAACAATGAAAATGGTTTGCAAATAAATGAAATTTGAGCATGCATATACTAATTGTAAACCTTCTATCAAAAGTCCTAGGCTTTAGAAGCACAATGGAACTGGCGGAGGTGTTATAAAAAGTAGCCTTTTTTCTTCTCCCTTGCCTATCAATCTCTAAAGGGTAAGGAAGCAGTATACAGGTTCATTTCTGAATTTATATAAATTATCCTACCAATCTTAACACATTGGATTGGAATCACAGTCAACTATGATTTTAAATAACAATTATTTTTTCTCTATTAAGTGAACATTTCTCTGGTTTCAAGAAAATACCACTAACCTTTAAAAAAGTCATGATCTAAGCAAAAATAACTAAGAATTGTTTATTTCATAAGAAATATGAAAACTAAGTTATGTTCCTTAACAAGCAAATCTTTGACAAGAAAATGGATGGAATTTTTTAGAATTGCTGAAAGCTAATCCACAAATCAGGAGAGCACAAAAACTCCTAAGCAGGAGAAAATTTTAAAACTCCACACCCAGTCACATCATTGTGAAATTTCAGAACACCAAAGAAAAATAGATCTTAACCAGCAAATAAATTGACAGCAGATTTCTTAGTAGCAACAGAAACCAGAAGATAACAGGATAATATGTTTAATATTCTGAGGGGAAAAAAAAGACAACTGTAAACCTAGAATTATGTATCTAGTAGAATTATCTTCAATGAACAAGAGCAAAATAAAAGTATTTCAGGTGGGAAAAAAACCTGAGAGTTTATCACATGACATTCTCACTAAAGGAAATTCTATAGAATTTACTTTAGGCACAAGTAAAATAATCCAGAAGTAAGATTTAAGATATGCAATGAAATGGCAAGCAATACATTTTTACACATGTGGGTGGGTCTAAAAAACATGATTTCTAATTTATAGGAGAAAAACAGAATAGAACTAAAGTAGTTTATAATAATAATAGCTTATAAATTGGGAGGGAGTGTGCAGTTAAAACAACCTCAGGCATTTGAATTTTTCAAAAGGAAAGATATTAGTTTTAGACTTTAAAATAGTAGAATAGTCACCTTAAAATATACATAAAGTGTATTACTCCAAGTAAGTTGAGAGAAAAAGACACACACACACACACACACACACACACACACACACACACACACAGATACTTCTCTAAGTTTCTGACATTTTAATCTCCTTTGTGTCTGTCATTCTCACTTATGGCAAATAGTGCTTTATAATTTTTCATTGTGAGCTTATCTTTAAAGGGTCCTTTTTATTGTATTTTATTTTTTTATGAGAATCCCTTTCAGTCTTCTATGGAAGCAGGTGGGTTTTATGTTTGCTTCTGCCAGGCATTCCAGATATACCTTGTTTAGGATATTTTTGGGGAGAAGGTGGGGGTTAGGGGAATCAATTTCTAGGTTTTGAGATTCCAACAACACATAAGTGCTATAAATCTAAACTCCAAACTCATGAAATGCAGGTCTAGGTTTTCAGAATTTCATCAATTTTTTTTTCCATCGAGAAATAGGACATGCTTACTCATCTGCTGGTCCATTGGGTGTTTTGTATTTTCCTCACTCTTATCCTTTTCCTGAAGATGATGTCTTTCAGACAGTGGCTTTTTGTGGTGTATTCAGTTCCAGCTCCCACCGTGGGCTACTCCAAATCCTTACCACCTGCCCCTATACTTCCAGGCCTCTAGTTACAAAGGCTAACGACATCTTGCCCACATCTAGGATGACCAACTATCCTGGTTTGCCTGGGACCTAGTTTTCAGAAATGTGAGGTTTTCCAGTGCGAAAGCCAGGAAAGTCTAGGGCAAACTAGTTGGTCCCCCTACACCCAGCTCTCATACCCAGGGTCAGAAGAGAATCAGTTCAATGAGTCACTGCTCTGGTTTTCAGTTTCAATTCTAGCATCTTAGGATTTCTCTTCATTTTTATGGGTTTAGGTACATATTAAAAATGTCAGTTTTTATTTTATCCTGTAATGCTAGGTGTTGATAGTGAGACAGCTTTCAGGTTCCAGAAGAGTCCACTGTTTTGCCAGCTTACGTCTAACATTGTAATGCTTTTCATCAGCACCAAAGCGAAGTTTGAGGATAAAAGTCATGGCCAGTTAACCCGTGTGGATATACTTTGTTGGAATGGTTCCCTACGTTGTGTGATTTGCTCCAACAACTGACCCACAGCTCACCCTTGCTCTAGGCGCTGTTTCTCTGACCTCGAGAACGTTCTAGAATTCTCTAGGCAGGCCGAGCTTCTTCCTGTAAGGCCTAGAAGATGAACTCGCCCCCTTTACGATTCAAATTCCCCGAGGGGGGAAAACATGTTTGCCTGTTTTGTTCACTCCTGCGTCTGTGGTACCTGGCAATCATAGGCTCTCAATACATGTTTCTAGAAGGAATGACCATCTCGAATGCCAAGCCGGCCTGACCTATCTGGTTGTTTCTTCCAAACAATCCATCTACCTCCAACTTCACAGAAAGGCGTCCATGCTTCTTTTCTGTGGATGCCTGGTTCCCTGGTCTACACGGATTTGTTTCTATTTCTGTACGCCGTTTCCCTCGACGTTGGGGCCAGCGAAAAGGATCTTCGTGATCGGAATAATCCGCTACGATTCGGACGCCATTTTGAAACTAGAGCCTAGACACATCGAAACATCTTTAATGTTAGCACATCTGTAAGTATGCACCCTGATTTCAAGTACGTTCCTAGGGCACTTGCGGGGCGCTGTGTGTGTCTGTGGGTCAGGCCATCTCGGGGCAACGCCTCCCGAGCTGTACGCTGTCGGCCCGCGCCCAACCCTTGCGTCCCCCCTGCATCCCCCCAACCCCCCCCCTCACTCCGCACGCAGGGGGCGGGGTGCTGCCACCCATTGGCTGAGGAGGCTCCGACGAGCCCCAGTACCCCGCAGGCGCAGGAGCACCTCCGGGAGCCCCACAAGCCACGCCTCAGTCCACCGGTGCCCCTCAGCCTCGCGGGTTGGCGCTTCGGGCTCCGCAGCGTCGGCGCTGCCTTGGTCGTTCCTGACTCCGGTACCGCTTCGCCCCCGTCGAGGCCGGGCGGACGGCACGAGCAGCCCCCACAGTAGCCCCAAGAGCGGTGCCTGAAGAGCAGCCTCTGCTCCTCCTCGAGCCCCGTCGGTGGGAACTGCTAGCTGCCGCCATCATGGTGAGTTGCGGAGGAGGCCCGAGGGACGCAAGACAGATGGGGGCCCTCCAAGGTGGCCGGAACTCGGCTTTTGGGAGGGAGGGGACCGAGAGTGGTTGAAAGCGGGGGAGAGGGTGTCCCCGGCTTTCCTTCCTGTCTGAGGCGCTTGCCTGGGGGCATCGCAGGCCTCGGCCCGACAGGGCGGGTGGCGGCGGCCGTCCGGCGGCAGGAGCGCGGCCTACATGGCGCCGCAGGGCAGACGAGGAGGGGCACGATGCCGGGGGCCGTGGTGGAGGGGCACAGCCCGGGAGGCCCGCCCCCGCAGACCGCATGCAAGGCCCCTTGCCGCCATTGCCGCCGCCCGCCATGGCGCAGACGAGTCTGGGGAGAGTCGGCCCAGGCTCTCCGCCCGTGGGGATGTGGGGGGATGGGTAACCCATTCCCGCCCCACCCCCACCCCCCCTTCCCGCGCTTATTCTCTGGAGGCGAGACAGGAAGCCGCGCGGCCTCCGCGACATGGCGTCCAGCCTCAGCCGCCGCAACACCACATGGTGCCGGCTTTCTGAGGGACGTGCTCGCTGTCTTTGAGGGTCGGAGTTTCCTCAGGAAGTGGCTCCTTCCCGGGTCCCTGTGAGGGTTGGGGTGGTGTGTTCGTTGGGGGGGGGACGGAGAGGGGCCGCGAAACAGGCGTTTTGGAGGCACGGCCTGCGAGCTGAGGGGGAGGCCGCGGCGGAGGCGCCTTTGTGGTGGCCCCTCGTGCAGGCCCTGGTGGTGGTGGTGGCGGCGCCCTCGTGTGGCAAACTCAGGCACAAGCCCGCCTGGCGCCAGCATTGCCGCCCGAGGCTGCCGTGCGCTGCCTTGCTTCTAGGGGACCACAGGTTTGAGCAGCTGAGGAATTTTTGACTCGGGGCGACATTTTTCCTGTCGAGGTAAACCAGGAGCTTGAAATCAAATGTACATACAGTCATAGTCTTCGGGGCCTACATTCATGTGCGTTTTGATGGATGGATGAAGTTGATTCGCCACCACCACGAGATAACTCTGAGCACTTGACTACCATTAAGTCACAAATGCGTTATAGACCATGTGTATTTATTGATAGTATAATTATTATTCTCTCCAGTTTTAGAGGTAAAGAGGGGAAATGTATATACAATTTATATTAGTACATAAGTTGAAATAAAATTTATAATTACATGGAATTTGTCATAATTATTTGTGTCGTGTAGTTATCCAAGTTAATAATCACAATGAGTTTCTATACTTTACAATAATTTTTCCTCCACTATCAGAGGAAAAGAGGGGAAATGCTAATAGCTTATTAATTTTTCTGATTATAAAAGTAACATTAACTCATTTGAAAGTAATAAATGGAAGAAAGTAGAGGTCCACCTTAGTCCTGACACCTGTTAAAATTTTGATGTATGTATGACCTTCCAGATTGTTTTTGTGCATGTATTGCATACAGGTAGGTAAATTTTATTTTACAAAAATTGTACCATCCTGTATACTATTTTACAACCTGGCTCTTTCCCTTAATATAGTGGACATTATTTCAAAGGTAAATTTCAAATAATTTTGAATATAATGTTAGAGTATACGATTGTACCATTACTACTTTTAGCAAATTCTCTTATAATGAATAATTTTTCTATATTAAAACAATATTGTAATGAGTATTTTTGTGCAGATGTTTTAATATGCTTATTCTATTAATTCCTTGAAATAAATTGCCAGGAGCGGAATCAGAGTTAAGCCCATTTTATAACAATTTTAAGTTATACATCTTTCCAAGTTACTTTTGATAAAGCATATACCAGTATATATTACTATTAATGACATGTAGAGTGAACTACTCTCCAGTCTTTCCAACGAGAGGTATTATACTTTTCTAAGTTGCCAATCTAGTAGCTGCAAAATATTTCACTGTGTTGACGTGCTTTGTTATTAAGTGAAGTTGAAGTTTGTCGTTAGCTTTTAAAAAATTTTTTAATAAATTCTGAACCCACCTTTCTATTTGGAAATTTATAACTTTTTCTTAATGACTAAAAGAACACTATATTAATATTAACCCTGTCACACATAGTAGAAAAAAAATACAGTAATGATAAGGAGGTGTCTTTATTCCTAAATTCGATGGAAATGACTATAATGTTTCAATTTTAAGCCTGGTGATTGATGGCTTAGAATTAGCTACAAAATAAGATTATTCTATTGTACCTGGGTTTATTAAAAATTTAAAAAGTAATGCTGTGCTTTATCAAATGTTTTTTCAATGGTGAGTTACAATAATATATTACCTAGTGAACCATCCTTGCATTTCCAATATAAACTGTACTTAATTGTGTGGGTTTTTTTTTTTTTTAATATACTGCTGGAATTTTGCATCTCTGTGTTGGGGGCATGAGTGAACCATCTTAATCAGATTTTGTTATTCAGATGGTATTTAGTAAAATGCATTGAGAAATATATTTTTTCTTTGAAATTTTTTTTAAAGAAAAACATTTGACTTTTCTTTCTCTTCCACTTCCTCTTTTACTTACCATTGTTTCTGTCTTGGTGTCACCTCCCCCCGCCCTGCACACAAATTATAAATTATCTGTTTCTTTACAATTTGAAAAATCTTCTAGTGAAACTGAGCCAGGAATCAAGTGTTTTCTTAAGATTGTCTTTAAAAAGTAATATTTCTCTAGAAAGTCATTTCATCAAGATTTCAAAATTTACTTCCATAGAGTGTATACATAGTGTTCTCTTACAATCTCTGGTCATATCCCCTTTTTCACAAGTAATGTGTTGTTTTGCTTTCTTGCCCTTTTTCTTGCTTAGTTTTAACCAAGATTGTTCGTTTATTGTTTGGATTCCCCCCACCTTTTCCCTCCAAGAGTTTACTGTTGGATTTACTTAAAAGGTTTTATTCTGATTTACATTTCCTATTTCCTTCGTTTTTGTTTTTCTTATTAGCTCCTTTCTGTGGATATAACTGATGATACAAATTGTAGAATTATTTTGGGACAGTATACATAGACCTCATTTTGCTTGCATGTAGACATAGTATTTGAATGAAATAATATCAAAGAGATGCCATCCCAGGAGCTTTAGTAATGATAAGTTTTTTTCAGCTTTTAGTTATCTTTGTCATTTGGTTATCCAACTATAATAGAGAATGTATTACTGTAAATAGCAGTGATGAGAATCGTGTATATGATAGCATACAAGTTCACCTCCATTTAATATCTCACATTACTCATTTCAAAACCCACCAACTACTTGAAGGTATAATTAAGAAAAATAATTACTTCTTATATTTAATTTATATGCAGCTTATTTTCTGTATGCTATTTTTTTTTTAAAGATTTTATTGGGAATTGGGAGGGAACAGCATTGGAAATCGGGGAAAGGGAACAGACAAGTTGCTGTCCTTTTGTTCTTCAGTCTAGTTGTGGAGGACGTCGCTTCACTGGCCCATGTTGGCACCATCATTGAGCTCTTCCCAGCTGAGGCAGATCGGTCACTGGCTGCTGGATGGCCGCTCACGGTGGCTCTTGGCAGCTCACGCTGGCTGCTGGCTACTCACAGTAGCTCACAGCAGTTCACTGCGGCAGGGGCTGCAGGTCATGACGTCGCTGGTGACTCACGGCAGCCCAGCTCCAGGTCGAGGTGGTGTTCACCTTCGTAGCTGTAGAGAGCGCAGTGTCACTGGCCCGCATGTGGGATCAGTATCGGGGCCCTGCTGCTCAGAGCTGGCATCCCAAGCCAACGCCTAACCAGTGTGCCACTGGGCCGGCCCTGTTTTCTGTATGCTGTTGATGGCTAAGATTAATACTTGAAGACAAAACTTTTGCTTTAGCCTAAGCATTCATTTGTGCAGCATTTTTGGCAAGAGTTTAAGAATAACTAAAGGTTGTCTATTGGTTATTGATGCTGTATATGTAAATTATAATTATATATAAGTACACACACAGTAAGAGTTTAAAAAAATCCCTGCTGTTCAGTCTTGTTAAAATGGAGTACTTTGCTTACTTCGTTAGCTTTGAGCGCCACCTGCTGACTGAGGACTAGGACATGATAGTGCCTTAATTTAAGACGTTAGGACACTAGTAAAATGATTTGATGAATTTTATATATTTAATATCCCAATTAAACAGGCAGCCAATTTGTACACCCAACTCCAAGCCAAACTTACTATACTATCTAATTACTTTTTTTTCTTTTTCTCAAATTACTGGTTTGTTGTCTCGAGTATTCATTTTACTTTAGTAAATAATGAAAATTAGAACTTTCCTTTTCAGTTCTGGTGACCTAATAATAGGGTTTCTCAGCTGTGACCCTATTCAAATTTTGGGCCAGATAATTTTTTGTTGTGGGTGTCTGATCCTGCATTATAGATGTTTATTGTATCCCTGGCTTCTATCCACCAGGCACCAGGAACACCACTCAGTTGTGACAACCAAAAATGCCCTGGCCTGCAAAATCTCCCTTGGTTGAGAATCTATACATTATCATAGCCCCTTATAACCTGGCACAGTTTTCTGGCCTGATGTTACACCTCTAAATTAAAATAGATCCCATCTGTTGTGATTCACAGATATATAACACTGTAAATAGTTTATTAGATAAAAGAGGGTATCCAAAGTTCATCTACAAATAAAGGGGAAATTGAGAAGGAGAAAAAAAACGTATGGAAGTTTCGGAACCACTGTTTTATTTGTGTTTTGGAATTTTGAATGAGCTAATTGAAAGGGATTGGTAAATTGTTTATAACAAAGGGAAATCTAGTCAAGTTCTAAATAATTCAAGATATGTGGCTTCTGTACTATAGTCTCATTTAGAAAAAAATAAAATTATAAAACAATGTTTATGGGTTTTTTGTTTTATAGTGGAAAAACTTTAGAAATCGTTTTTTACTCTGTTGCTTTATAGTCATGAAATATCACTGTACTCTAGTTAAAGGAAAAGAATTAGGAAGTATTCAAATAGAAACACAAAATAGCAATTATAAGCACAAATTAATATAGAATAGCCAAAGTGCTCACATTTGGTTATTTGACAATTTTTTTATTTCATCTCTAATTAGTATAGCAGTTTGTAGAATGTTAAATTTATCAGTAATTTTTAGCATCTAACAAAATAGGAACTCTATTTCTCATTGTTAACTAATGTCTATAAAAATGACTGCTTATCTTTTTAAAAATATGTATCAGTTCGTTTCTTTTGTCCTTATTTTCCTCCATATAGTTGTAATAGCTTTATCTCTCTCTCGCAGTCTTTTGTACTTACCTCTTACAATTAATAAGCGTTTTATGAGTTTCAAATGAGCAGATGCGCCATAAAATAACTTCCTTGAAGTTCCAAATCAAATTAGTTATAAATTAATAAAATATCTACAAAATAAGTAAGTAAATAGTAAAACCAGGAAATAAACGTATTTTTAATCTATTGAAAATAAATAAGTCACTAACTTACATCGGCATACCACTTTATACTTTACAAAATGAATTCACAGATATTATCTCACTTTATTCTCAAAGCAATTTTTCCAAATATAAACAGCTACCAAGTAAGTGGCTTATAACCTAGTAAGGGACATGAACCTGCATCTCCTGACTAAATCAATTTTGTTTCACTGTGCTATATTGCCTTTCCAATATATATGTTACCAGTAAATTATACTTCAGAAAAATTTGCATTAACCTTTGTGTAGAAAGACTAAAGATGTAGTTCTGACCAGAATCCAGAAAAATAATAAGTTTCATATATGAGTCTCTTTTTCTGAAAATAAAGATAGCATGATTTGTATTTATTAGCCCACTATGAAAATTGGAATTATCAGTAAGACTGATTTGGTGTAATTCAAGAAGAAAAATGTTATTTCAAAAGATACTTTGAATGCCTTAGCATTAGAGAAAAGGATGACAAGCCTTCAGCAGGAGATAATGGTATGTGAGCAAATAAAGATTTCATGATCATTTCCAAAGTAAAGCAGGCATACAGCACAGGGAGTATTATAATTTTAAAAACCATGTTAATTTTGGTGAATAGAAAGATGAGGCAAAAAAATTGGTTTAAAACTTTGATGTTTGTATTCTTTTTGATGCAGTTCTTTTTTAAAATTTTGTTTACCTTTTTAAAAGATTTACCAGGGCCGGCCGAGTGGCGCGATGGTTAAGAACTGGCTAGGGACACCAGAGGGCCCCGGTTCGGATCCCACATATGAGGGCCAGTGACACTGCCCTCTACAGCTAAGATGCTGAACAACAGCTCAACCTGGAGCTGGGCTGGGCTGCCGTGAGGCAACGGTGTAGGCTACAGCCCCTGTGGCAGTGGGTTGCCATGGGCTACTGTGTGTGGCCAGCAGCCACAGTGAGCGGCCAGCAGCCGCAGTGAGCGGCCGTCCAGAAGCCGGCGACTGATCTGCCTCGCCCTGGAAGAGTGCAATGATGGTGCCAGCTTGGGCCAGTGAAGCAACGTCCTCTACAATTAGACTGAAGAACAAGACGACAGCAACTTGTCTGTTCCCCTTCCCCCAATTCCCCAATAAAAAATCTTAAAAAAAAAAAACATTTACCATGCTTCTTAATAAGTTTTATAAAGTGAAAATTTGCTGATTGGCATAAAATTTGCTTATTTGGTTGGGTGATTTAATTTCATTTTTTTACCAACCTGATCTTTCTTATTACTTTTTACCAGTTCACATAGTATTTTCAGAAACACAATATAAAATCAGTATTCTGCCACAGACTGGGTTTACGAAAGTGCTATATCCTTTTGTTAAAATAGCATACTGATCTATTCTGATTGCTTTACACCTTGAGCCTGAAGTAAGCTGTATTGATAAGTAATTTACAATGAAAATATATGAATATGTTTTATACTTGAAAAGCAAAAATATTTCACATCATGTGTTTTTTACCTGTATACATGTTTATACCTGTGTATCTAAGTGATGATACCTGCTTTCCAAATTACAGTCTGCTGCAAATTCTGAGACTTCAAACTCAACCATCTCCAGAGAGGCCAGCACCCAGTCCTCATCAGCTGCGACCAGCCAAGGCTATGTTTTACCTGAAGGCAGAATCATGCCAAACACCATTTTTGTTGGTGGAATTGATGTTAGGGTATTGTATTCATATTTCATTCATTTAAAAAATATTTTGTAAATAACGAGATTTTGGCCTTTGTTGCAAATCATAAGGTTTTTTTGTACTTTATGTAGGTTTGGAATTAGTTTATGTTTAACTTGTGTGAGGATTAAAAACATCTTTGATAAGAGCTTCAGGTATTTGGGGGGTAGTTGGGGGAGATACTTCCACAATATCAAATCTTTAATACTATAATTGAAAATTTTGAATGCTGAATTTTTACTCTTGAAGTCAAATTCTTTTCCATAGATGGATGAAACCGAAATTAAAAGTTTCTTTGCTAGATATGGCTCAGTAAAAGAAGTGAAGATAATCACGGATCGAAGTGGTGTGTCCAAAGGGTAAGTAAAACATGTTCAGTATAAATTGTAAAAAACATCTGAACCGTACTGTCTGTAGAATATCAGAGAAGAATTCTGAACTGGTATTCTTACACTTGTATAAATGAAATTTGTTGCTTTGTTAATTTCTTTCATGTAAAGAATAAAAGTTTTCTGCCAGCTCTTCTACGTAATAGTTTTCCTAGTATTTGTATTTAAATATTTCCCATTTTCGTTTCACATAAGTGGATTAATCAATTTTATCAAAGAATTGTTTTCTTTGCACATCTCACAGTATCTTAAATTTTAACCATCTGGCCATAGATAATAAATTCAGGTTCATAAATAGGAATTTTCTGTTAATAAGGTTCCCACATTACCTTACTTGTAAGGAAAAAAGGAGTAATGTATATAGAGGATCTATCTTGTACATCTTAATATTTATCTCAATATATTCTTCAACCTTTATCATTAACACTTTTGTCAGTTATTTCATAGAATACTAAAAGTTTTAAACCATTTACTTGTAATGATTTTATACTTCATTTATCTGCCTTTTTAGCTATGGATTTGTTTCCTTTTATAATGACGTGGATGTGCAGAAGATAGTAGAAGTAAGTAATCTTATGGAAAAATCTCTTAACTAGGATATGGATGCAATGTTTACTGTTGTTGAATATAGTCAGTTTTGTATAAAATATAGAAATTGATACATTTCTTTTTTGAAATCCAAACTTAGAATTATCTTACATAATACCTTGGAATTCTATCTTACATAACTTGTCAGAATTTATTTTTGATTGGGCACCTAGCTTCATGAACTAGAGACAGTGTAAAAGGTTTTGATCAAATTCCATGATACCTCTGGACACTTGAGTAGTGAGGGCAAGGTGCTGATAAATTTTGATTTAGTAGGTTCTTACCACTGATGGTCTCTGACAGCAGAAATTTTAGAAGACTTGGGATGCTTACCAAAGTCTTGGAAGTAAAGACTTGGAAATTAATGTTAGTTTTGTTACTGTTTTATTTTCAGTCACAAATAAATTTCCATGGTAAAAAGCTGAAACTGGGCCCTGCCATCAGGAAACACAATTTATGTGAGTAGAGAAAGGAGTTTTTCTTGTTGACACCTGTGTACCTTTTCAGAGAATTAAAAATATGCTTTGTTTTCTTTTTATTCTTTAAAAAGGTGCTTATCATGTGCAGCCACGTCCTTTGGTTTTTAATCCTCCTCCACCACAGTTTCAGAGTGTCTGGAATAGTCCAAACACTGAAACTTATATGCAGCCTGCAACTATGATGAATCCTATAACTCAGTATGTTCAGGTAAGAATTAACCTACGTTCTTCCTTTATTCATTTTGGAGATCTTATAGATGAGGGTACCTTAAAAGTAAACTAGTCTCACTTCTTACTCTCTGTGGAATTATATCTACAATTTCCATAATAAGTGATAAAACTGTCCCTGTTTGAATACTTTGAGTGATGGGAAATCTGTTTTTTTAGAAATCTGTTGTTCTCAGTGTTCCTTATTCTAACCTAAAATGTGCTTCTAAATAGTTTGTTTTTATCTTAGAGCTGACGTCTATAGCCACAAAGAGCGTATCTCTTCCCTTTTTTCCTCCTGTATGATAACTCCAAAAATATTTGAAGGCAGATTTTCTCATGTGTCTGCCTGGTAAATTCTTCTCTAAGGTTAGCAATTTATCTAGCTATTCTTTATTTTCAGTAATTCCCAGATGCCTCCCCATATAAATTGCTGATTTCTGGATGTATCCTAGTTCTAGAATGGATAGGTTTCTGATGACTTAACTGTATTTGTAAAATCTATAAGTAGCATATAATTTGGTCCTGATGACTTTAATATTTGAAGTGGTATTTGGAATATTTACTATCTCCTCTAGATGAAAAATAGTGTTTATTTTCTTGGTTCATTTTACTTTCCTTCAGTTTAAAAGACATTTTATTTGCAAGAAAAGAAACAAAATAATAATGAAAACAGTGCTGCAGTGTTTCTCTTTTGTTTACATTTTCCATCTACCTGAAGTGTATGTAGGGTATATATATATTTTTACTTACTTTTCTTGCTCTAAACATGGCTAGAAGAAAAACCCTACTTGTTCCTAACATTTACTGTGAGTTATTACTTATTCTGGGTGTATTCATGTATGCTACTACCTAGATGTTTTTAATAAATATTTGTTGAAAGACTTAAGACATTTTACTGTATGTTTTCCAGTTTGAGGTATATACTGCCATTAACTTTTAGAAGTAAAATACAGAAAACCATAAAGTCTGTAAGAGGACTGTACACATTGACACATTACCCCATAATATTGTCAGAGAAATACTAAACTGCCTAAAAGTATTTCTTTCTGTAAACTTTATTTTCAGGCATATCCTTCTTATCCAAGTTCACCAGTTCAGGTCATCACTGGATATCAGTTGCCTGTATATAATTATCAGGTAATTTAAGAGGAAATTAAATGATTTACTTTGGAATATTATTGAGGCCTTTATTTACATAAATTTCCCTAATAGTTTGTCATTTAAACTAGTTAAGTATGCCTAAAATTTAAGAAAAGACTTTTTAAGGCCTCTGTATTATTGGAAATAAGGAAATAGTATTTTGACAGGAATATACTTAGCAGGAAGTTTTCTCTTGTACTGTCTTCAAGATTTGGTACTCACGTCTATATTTCAGCATGTATTCCTCCTCTTTGCTTTCAAAGAGCTGAAACACCCAGGCTGACTTTTATAAATTTTTCTGGGGGAATAGAGCATTAAATTTCCATTATTTTTTATAGTGTTTATTTTATCTGGCTACTATAGATAATAGTTCTCTGAATTTCTGCTCATAGATACAACCATGTCTGTGACCCATGATCATATCAATAGTAATAAATTCAAAGACTACTACTATCTTTGAGTTTTCCTGAACGCCAACTCCAGAAAATTGAGAGAAAGGTGGGGTTTATATATGAAAATAATAATAAAACCCTCAGGTATTAGAAACAGAAAATCTCTTTTTTCACTGTTTCTTTTCTTATAATGAGTGCAAGGAGTCTTTTATTATAATGAGTGCAAGGAGCCAGCATGACAAATACCTCAACATTGTCTATCTCATATCTTTGTGAAAATGTGTAGGTATATTTAAGTAATTCTTTCTTTCTTTTTTTTTTCTTTTTCTTTTTCTTTTTAAGATGCCACCACAGTGGTCTACTGGGGAACAAAGGACTTATGTTATACCTCCGGTAAGGTGAATTAGAACATGTACTTGCTGTTCTTTAAAGTATTTTTTTGTTTATTATATATTTCTTGACCTTTTGCCATGTCATGTATGCCTAGAAGTATTTTTAATTGCCCTCTTACATGTGTTTTATTAATTTCTTGTCAACTCAAATATATACTCGCATGGGAGAAATGGCTTTTTGTTTCTCAGGTGGTTTTTGTGTGCTTAAGCAGTGGCTGCTCTGCTTTTAACAGGTGCTCAATTACTTGTTGATAGAATATATAATCCAAGAAAGGTAGTATTAATACCTGTGCTAATGCTGATTCTATTGATTTAGAATTAATATTGAATCTGCTTCTAGTTTTCCACTTAAAAATACGTATTGACGAGAAGCAAAGTAAATGTTTTGCTGTAATACTGTTGTGTGTTATATAAGAGAAGGAGAAAACAAAAGTGCCACCTCTAAAACACAGCCTTTGTTACATTCTGTCTTTCATCGGGACTGGATATTTGAAGGATATGAGTTAGAATTCTCAGGCACTGGGAAATTTCCATTCCCCATAATACATTTTGAAGTTTCTTTTTCTTAGAGCCCTTCTGATTCTGATTATGTTGGAGCTTAAAAGTCATTTCAAAATAAGAGACTGTTTTATTGCATTTCAACTATTCAGTATAAATAAGGTTTTTGTGATAATGTAATTGAATTTCAGCATGGTCCACATTTAAACTTCCAATAATTGTTCACCAATTTGTAGATGGTTTAGAAACGTTTCTAATGTACATCTTTAATTACACTTATATCGTTTTAAATATAGGTTTATACAGCTGTTAACTACCACTATAATGAAGTTGATTCAGGAGCTGAAGTTTTGTCAAGTGAATGCTCAGTTCATGAAGCTACTCCATCCTCTGGAAATGGCCCTCAAAAGGCAAACATCTAATTTTGTTATTAATATTTTTATATTTATTCAAGTTTTAATAATGATCCTTTGAGAAGTAAGCATCTTTGCCCAAATTTAAATAAGGAAGCCATAAATTAGAGAGCTTGATTAATAAACTGATAATCCATCAGTTTATATTAAAGTTAATAAAATTTCAGGCACCCTCAAATTGTGTGTGTGTGTGTGTGTGTGTGTGTGTATGTATGTGTGTGTCTGATTCAGTATTCCTTTCTGTTTCATTTCCATCATTTTTTGTTTGTTCTTTAAACCATACTTTAATAAATATTGTATTAACATGATTTGGCAGAATGCAAATGGACAGGTTTCCTCAAGGTTCCTATTCTTCAAAAGAGGGACTAGTATGAATTATATCTATCTTGCTTACCAATTTAAACATTTACTTAGCTAAATAATAATATACAAATGTTTATGGTATTCTCTCCATAGTTCTGTGTTTTATTGAATGACTGGGAATGTGGGTAGCATTGAAGGATTTCTGTTTGTTTGTTTGTTTGTTTGTTTGTTTGTTTGTTTGTTTCATATGGGAGTTGAACCGGCAACCTTGCTGTTAAGAGTGCACATGATATCCACTGAGCCATCTGGGCAGCAGTTCACCTCAGGGTGCTGAGTTCAGCCTTAGTTGTGGGTGGGCATAGCCACTATCCCGTGTAGGAATCAAACCAGCAGCCTTGTTGTTAAGAGCACACACTGTATCCACTGAGCCATCCGGGTGGCAGCTCAGCTCAAGGTGCCAAGTTCAGTCTTAGTTGTGGGTAGGTGTAGCCCACCATCTCCAACAGGCAATCTTGTTAGGAGCACGTGCTCTCACCAGCTGAGCCTTCCTGCCACCTGTTGGCAGTTCAGTGGCAGCTCAGCTCGGGTGCAGCTCAGGCGAAGCTTACTGGCCCATATGGGAATCGAACCAGCGACCCTTTTGCTCAGAGCTCATGCTTTTAAGCAAACTGTTAACCAACTGAATCACTCGAGCGGATTTTTATCCTGAAGGATTTTTATTGTAGTGTGTAACTTTGTCCATGTGTTTCTCTGGGGAAAAAAAGGTTGAGAACTACTGAACTATATGGTGAAAAATTTCCCTGATACCTGCTTAAAATTTGAAAAATTATTAAAATAGCTTACAGTTTAATTATATTATCAGGTTTTATCCTGCATATTTTTTCTTGAAGTGTTGAAGTTTACTGTTTCTTATCTAACAGAAAAAAATAAGAGCCTTGAGAAAATATCTTAGGGTTTTACTAAAATTGAGCTTTTTAAACCAGTACTCTTATCACTAAGTCTCTAAAATATTTATTGAATTTAGTAGAAAAGTTACATACTAAGTGACATTGTAAGAATTAATTCCATAATAATTCTTTAGAAATAAGTATATGTATTTATTAAACTTTATATTAAAAATGTGTTAACAGTGAGTAAAAGGAATAGTCTTTAGATTACTGAAAAGTTCTGTGTTTCAGAAATCTGTGGACCGAGGCATACAGACGGTGGTATCTTGTCTGTTTAATCCAGAGAATAGAATGAGAAACTCTGTTGTTACTCAAGATGAATACTACAAGGTATGAAAAGAACAGTACACAGTAGAAAAAGCACATTTGTCAGTTATGAGACATCTTTTTTTTCCTGTTGTACATATATTTTGAGATTACAGAGAGCTTTTAATTGAACTCGTGGCATTTGACTGTAACCTGTTAAACCACTGTGAGTTTTACCTGGCAGTGTATTTTATGTTGCTCAAACCTTGATATAGTGTAGTTTGTTCTTAGGGTAGAAATTTTTAGCAGAAGCTGGTAATTGAAAGAGTTTGTGAAAGAAGAGAGCTGAAAGAGAATATTAGCTTGACAAAATAGAAAAAAAAATTTAGATACAGAAAGCAGAATTTAAGAGTACATGGGTATTGAACTGAAAAAAAGAGAAGAAAAGGAAAAGATGACATACCTGATCAATGTGGGGAAAGAAGAAGTAAAGTGAAGGAATAAAAAGAATTGAAAAAGAAATGGAAGTTGATTCAGAGTTGGTAAAGCGAAAGAGAATGTGGGTGTTTGAATTTAAGTTCTGTTTTCTGATCCTGGTTCTTATCCTTGGAAAAATCACGTAAATTTTACTAAGGCTTCAGTTTTTACTTGTCTAAAATGAGACATAAGACTAAAGGTCTCTAAAATTTCTTTAGTTCTGACTCTGTGAATATGGAAAGGAACTAGCTGGTCACTCCAAAGAGGGAGGAATATTTTGTGTGCTTACTAAAGGGACGTTTTTGTTGTTTTTTAATAACATGTTTATTGAGATACAATTTGAGTATAATACAATTCACCCCTTTAGAGTGTACAATTCAGTACTTTTTAGTATCTTTGCAGACCACAACCACAATCAATTCTTAGAATATTTGAGTCATTCCAAAAGTAAACCCCCTACTATTTATTGTCAGTCACTCTCCATTTCCCCCCCAACTCCTTGAGCCCTAGGTAACCACTAATTTTTTTTTTTTCTTAAGGATTGTCCTATTCTGGACATTTCATATAAATAGAATACTACAACATATGGCATTTTGTCACTGGCTTCTTTCACTCAGTATAATGTTTTCAAGGTTCGTCAATGTTATAACATGTATCGGTACTTCACTTCTTTTTATTTATGGATATGCCATTTTGGTTATTTCTACTTTTGGCTCTGATGAATAATGTTGTGAGCATTTGTGTATAAGTTACTGTTGTGGACATGTATTTTTATTTCTCTTGGATATAGAATTGCTGAGTCATATGGTAACTATATTTCAAGGAACTACTAGAATTTTTCCAAAATGACTACATCATTTTACATTCAAAGGGAATTTTTTAATCATTGCTTTGTGTCTTAAAACAGGAGACAGAGAATAGGTTTGTTTTTTGGGTTTTTTTTAATATATGAATGGACATAGGATGAAGCTTAAAGCCTTTTTTGATGGGTATACCAGGGACTTCTATAATGCAGATGAGTTAGAGCCATAGCAGGATTAAGTTCTTAACCATCTTCTCAATAAAGAATAAGCTTATTCATTTAAAGTTGACATTTGTTCTTTTATCGTTTAATTCTACATAGCACTATATAAAAGGAAAGAACTAGGGTTATATGAAAGCTTTCCTTGCCCAAGTTCTGAAGGCTAAATAGGCAGTACTTAAACAATTTGCAAAGCAGAAAATGGTCTTTAAACTTGAGTTTTCACCGGGTATTAAACAAAAGCTTCCCTTTAAACCTTCCAGAGTTTTCGTCTCTGGGCTAGGAGTCAGAAGTTGGTATTCTACAGTTGTCTGTCATCTAGACTTATTTTCATTGGCTGTTATTGTTTTAATTGAATTTGAATGCATTGGGGCAGGGCATATTCTATTTCCGTGGTAAATTCTATTCTGTTGTCTTAATTTCAGCTCCTTCATAATTTTTTATATCCTGCCTGATGTATGAAGATAGTTGTGACCACTTTTCTGACCTTTCACCTAAATAGGATATTACCCTGTTGACAGTTGTATAATTTTGAGAAGTAACCCTTGTTTATATGACAACTGAATTTAATCCCTAGGAAAAGGGCACAGTTACACTAAATATGTAGAGAAGAAAATACTATTATGTTATTAGTGGTTTTCTAGGCTTCACTCCTCTTTGCAAGGTCTTTCTGTCTATACATCTGCAGGCAACATAAAAAGAAAGGAAATTTTTGCATATATATTTAATTTTTCACTTCATTTCCCTAAAGAATGATTTATTTTCATCACAGGTGAAGGGTATGTCTTTAAACATGCCAAAATTTTTATCTTTTTATCTAAAAGCATAGGATTTCACATTAAAGTCAGTGCTGTTCTCAGACTGTAATTTCTACCAGATACACTCCTGTTAGTGAAAACAGTACTTTTGAAAATTACATGCATTTTTCACCAGCTATCTTTGGGTCATCACTGCCAAATCATTAGTTAAGAATTTACATAAAACAATACTGATTCTAAGCCCTCTGTTTCTGAGTTGACCAAGATATCTTTTTAAACTAAATTGTTGTATAAAACTAGTCATTGGTGTACATTTGTTATCCCAGAGTACAGGAATATTTCCCAAAAAGGATCACTTTTCTCTCACTTGTAGTTTTTAAGCTCAAAATAAATGCATTAATTATTTTGCAACTCTTTTAGCCATAATAGAAATTTTTCAATGAAGTAAAAAGGACTGTTTTCTCTCTTTTCTAGGATAAAAGAGTCCATCATTTTAGGAGAAGTCGGTCAGTGCTTAAATCTGTTTGATCCTCTACTGACTTTCTAGACTCATTGGGAGTTGCTGGTTTTGAATATTAAGAAGAGACAAAGTTTTCCACTACTATAGAAATTTAATTTTGAATGTATTGATACATCACATTCATACTATACAAATTGTATTAGATTGCCTAGTTTTATTTTACATTGAAACTTTTTCATTAGATGTTTGTTTAGAAACTGGTTCTGTGTTCAGTATATAGTTTAAAGTAAAAAAAAACCAATTGAGACTGAAAGGAATAACTTTTAAGATTTATCTGTAAGGATTTTTTTTTAATTGAAATTGACATTTGAACAGTTTAAAAACAAATGCTGATTTTCAAAAAATTGTTTTAAAAAACCCACTGTTTTGAAAGGTCAGAATTTTGAGTACAAGCATTCATTTCTCCGGCAAGTACCTGTGAATAGTACAATATTGTGCTTTATGATTTGTCTAGAAATTTACCACAAAGAAGAGTTTTTAAAACTGCATTTTTAATCAGTGAAACTCAATATATAGTTAGCTTTATTGAAATCTTCCTTACCTAAACCCAGTAAAACCAATTCTAAACAGTCTAATCAGTGGGTCTTATGTTTATTAGTTGGAAATATTTTATCTTTTATCTGGAATCCACACATAGATATTGTATTTGATTGGGATGGTAATTAGGATAACTAAAATTCTGGACCTAATTTTTTTTTAAGAATCCAAGACAAACTAAACTTTACTAGGTACATAAGTTTTTCAGTAAGTTACCATTCTCCTTTTTTTTTTAAGAAAAAATTTTCCTTGAAATGCTAAACTTAATGGCTGTATCTTAAATTGTGCAAAATATTGGTAATAAAGAATGCTGAAGCTTTTTTATGTCACTTAAAGGTTATAATCAGAGTATCTGAAAGGAACTGTTTTTATAAAAACATTAAAATATTAGTTATTTGTTAAAAAGCAAATAGATTTTGATTTTTGTTAAACTATTATATTTTCTTTTTTAAAGTAAAATATGTCCAAGAGAGTCAAAAGTAGTTTTAGCATTTCTAAATCACAAAAATTGTTTAGTAATCATATCCCAAGAATATACTAGAGTCAAGAGTTAACATTTCATTTCTACATTAGCTAGTCTCATTAGACATTGTGTATCGTGACAACTAGAGCACCAGAGCTCTTTTGCTGTACCCACAGTCTTGCTTTTCTAGCCTGTAACACCATTTTTCCAGGAAACTTACTCTTAGAATAAGTGATAGAAAGATGAGAAGTAATAGCATGAGCAATTTGAAGGCTAAACCTTGGAATGATAGCAACAGAATTATACTTTTCTAAGGGAAACATTTATAGCAGCAGCATTTGACCTGCCATGGACATGAGTTTAAAATGGCTTCCTGGCCTGTCTTTCATTGGCCCCTTCACTAAAACATAAAGACTCCCTTTATCCCTAACTTAATGCAGCTACCATGGGGCATTTTATCAGTGTCCATTGTTGTCTTATAATTCATAATAATTTTCATTCTGAATCTTTTAACTTAAGGATCCCCAACAGGGTTTCCCTATGCCTCATAATTTGAAAGTACCCTGAAATGTGTCCTTTTTAAAATTCTCTGTATGGTTTTTTGTGTGCACTATAACATTCTTACATGTATCATTCTATGATTAAATCTCCAGGTTACTATAAGTGTACCTAAATTCTAAAGAGCCACTTCTAATGATCTCGGTATGACTTTAAAAAGAAAAATAAGGGAATAAACTTATTTGTGTGCTGTTTTGTCGAATTTGAAGTATTTAAAAGAGTAAGGTAGGAAGAAGTGACAAAGTCCCGGACCTTTCAAAATGGAAAATTAATTTTGAACTTAAAAGTATGTTCCTATTACCTCTTGGTGATACTGTCTTTGCATAAATCAATAAATAGAAATTTTTTTCAAAAGCATTTTTGACCTACTTATGTCAGATTATCTAAAGAAATGGTGGGGAGTTGGGTAGGTAGTATGTGACAAGGTTTAAATCCTTGAAATTAAAAACCGTAAATGTTTAATTTGTTTATCTGGCAGAGTTACTTTATAAAAGCAAATTTTGGTACATTTTTTTTATTTTTATAGCTTTCTCTTATGAAATTAAGAGATAGGTTTTCATGAGAAAATTATCCCTCTTAATGTTGAGTTGGAAATGGTTAACAGTGGATTCCAATGCAGTGAGTGCATCAGCAGTGCAGTACCCAATAGGAATGTTGGAGTCAATTATGAGTGCAGTCTCATGGCCAGGGTCCCTCTTTGGACTCTAGAAACATTCTGTGTACTGTACACTTTGGGCCTAATCTCTCTGACCCTTTTAATTTGGGGTATTGTAGTTGTCAATAATAGAACTTCGATTCTTCATATTGTACTTCATGTGAGGATGACATACAAAAGATCATCATTCATCACCTCTTCCAGTTCTAGCTCCAGTACTCCCAGTTCTATAAGCAGAGGCCATAAGAGAGAAAATTTCCCCACTGGATACTCCTAATGCTACATTTCATAACTGAGTTATTACCAGAAAATTGATTCTGATAAGGCTCTGCAAGATAAAAAAAGTGCTTTCTGAATCACCAAAGATTAGATTTTGATGTTTGAAGTAGAATAATTTGCAGATTAGTAATCCTTAAATGTGCATGAATATGTATACACATGTACATATATACTAATCATTATCCAGAACATTTGATTAGCCCTGACCAAGCTACATAGTTGATAAAAACATTTTGAAACTCTAAAACTAGACTACATATATTTTAAAACAGTTTCTTCAAACCTTAATATTTTAAGCATATTTGCAGTTGAGGATTACCACAAAATTCCCAACACAAAAAATATCTTTAGGATTTAAAATTTTTATACAGCACTGTTTTATAAAAAGTTTCAAGTTACAGCAAAATCAAGTGACTCAAAAAGTCGATCACCCTTGTAAGGGGTGTATTCTGCATATGTTTTCGTAAGAATATGTTACCTTTGTAATTGTTCAAAATAACTATTCAATATTGATTAGCACCCTTAAACTGCAAGGAAGTCATTGACGTTCAAAAATAAATACTGCACAGCATTGTAAAACCTTCTACACGCTGCTCTAAAATTCTCTTGTTCGTCGTCAAAGGTAAGTTCATAAAAATGGGCTGCCACATTGCTTAATTGTTTCGCCAGCTTTCATTGCCGTTTGAGGGTAATAAGGAGCAGTAGCGATAAGGCGGCATGCTACTCAGCTTTTGCAAATATGGCAATAGAGAGGGTGGGGAACTATAAGGGGGAGAAAAGCAGCAGTGTTTTCCATTGACCAAGTCTTGCAAATAGGCCCAGCTGTTGAGTATGATCATTTGGAATTCCAGAAACATGTCTCCTAGATGAGGAGTGCTCCTGTACATATTTTGATAACTCTGTAATCTAGCCCTTCCCAACATTATGTGTAATATGCCTCTCTGTGTGTAACTGAATCTTTTTAAGTAATTCCTCACCACCCATCATCAAAAACTGAGTTTTCCATCTGTAGACATACATTTGGTAGTAGAACACAATAAATGTAAGAAGTTCAAACTATAAACATGCATTTTTGAATGCTCTTGTAAAATATTCAATCTGCATAGCAAAGAAATGATAGGTAATTCTGCATTGCATTTAGAGTTAAAAACATCTGTCCAATATGGCTGTAGCTGTGGGCCAATCCCAAGACAATTCAAAAAAAATTATCTTTTGATACAGAAGTTGAAATTACCACTGTACAATTAAGCTTTATGGTAGCTATATTTTAGGATTTTAACTGGTCTGAAACAAAGTTTTCCACTTGTGTCTCTAGTTCATTTTTCCAAGGCACATGGAGGCTTTGTATCTTCCGTATACCTCCATTAAGGCTGTGTGCCAGAAATATGCCTTTTCCCTCATAAAATTCCCAAATACCAGTTTCACTAGGCCTTTAACAGTAGAACAAATGTTTGCATGACTGGGATTAACGGGGTTATGAAAGCACTTTAAATTTGAAGCAATAGTAACATTTCAAGCAGTTCAGAAAGTTGGGGAGGTTTTATAATCAATCAGTTCTTACAGAAAACATCTAGCAAAAGGGCATTAAGGCTCTAATCACATCTATTGTCTTTCCCCAAAATAAAATGGATAGAGACACACTATTCTGGCTCAACTTCGGGTGAAACTATTTATTGTAGAAGAAAGGAAGGGCTGACACTCAATTGATCTGTACTGGTACAGCTCACTGCCCTTGGCACACTTGATAACATTTTTAATGTTCTCAATCCTACCTCCTCCCAAATAAACCTGGCTGGACCAGTGAGAATGGAGAGGGGTGATTTAAAATACACAGCATTTTCTTTTCGTTTTAACTTAGATCTAAGATGATTTACCTAGTGTTTGAGCTACTTCACAGTGTGAGTAAAATCTGCAGTGTTTAAATAGTACACCTGCTAAATGAAAAAAATTTTAAGCAGTTTTTTCTGAACATGGTTGCTGCTGATCATTCTGGTTGATGGCATGTCTACCTTTGACAAAACCCCATACATTCATCACCCAGTTATATCCATAATTAGATCAGCCTTGTATCTGATGAGGGCAAGTTTTCTTAATAAATCTCACAGGGAAGTCAACATCAGAACCATCATCTGGGGTGCTTTTCAGAGATTCAGACTCCTGGGCCCCATTCTCAGATGCTCTTTCTCTGTAGGCTTGGGTGGACTCAGTAATCTGCATTTTTAATAAGTCCCTCGGGATTCTGACCTCTGCAACACTCACTTTGAAAAATATTGCCCCAGATAGCGATCTCTCAGTAAGTCATCTCAGGCTACCCCTAGTTTCGGGATAGCTGGATTTGGAGGACAACCCCGTCAGGTCCATTTTGATTCCTTCCTAAGGGATTTTGTTAGTTTAAAGCTTAATTCATCTTTCCCTGACAAACTTGTGCCCAGGAATGCACATTGTCCATAGGCAAGAATGGCTCATGAACAGGTTGAAAAGAGGATTGAAGGAAGTCTGAAAGCCAAGACTTGTGGCAAAAAGCAAATGGTAAGAGGGAGTGACTGCAGAAAAAAAGGTGGGTTATGAGTACGAGGCCAAGTGCAGGCATGCTGAGGGTGAGGGCCTAGGGCTCAACGGGGGGCGGGGGGGGGGCGAAGAACTACACCTTTGGTCCACTTGACAGATTTGAATAACATTTTACCCATAAACTTTAGAAGCGTGTGGCTTGTCATTCTTTTCTTGCTTTGGAATTAACTGTGTCTCATCCTTAACAATATTATAATAACAAATCAATACTGGAAACTATGTTAAAAATTCAAGTTCCAGAGACAGTTATGGGCATATTGAGATCCATATTGTTCGTGTGTGTGTGTGTGTGTGTGTAAAAAATTCACACAATTTACGTAGAAGAGTATAAAATGAGTATACTTCTGAAGAATAATAAATACCCAAATTTGCTTAAGAAGTAGAACATTAATTTATAAGTTCTCTTTGTGCTGTCTGTGATCATACCCTCCTTCCTCCTCCACAAGAGGTAATCACTAAATTGCATTTTGGTTTAATCATCCAATAAATAATTTGTTTCTTTTCACATGTTTATTTTTCATGGCTTGTTTCTAGCCTGCCTCCCTCCCTCCCTCCCTCCTTCCTCCTTCCTCTTCTTCGTTTGCTCCCTCCCTCTCATGATTTAATTTAATTTTTTAAGGATTTTATTGGGGAATTGGGGGAGGGGAACAGAGTTAGGGAATCGGGGAAGGGGAGCAGACCAGTTGCTGTCCTTTTGTTCTTCAGTCTAGTTGTGGAGGAAATCGCTTCACTGGCCCATGTTGGTATTACCATTGTGCTCTTCCAGAGTGAGGCAGCCACTCACTGGCCATTGGATG